GCATGTGAAGCGAAGGATGCAGCCTGCTGCGCTGAGAGTAGGTTGACGAATCATTTAGGTGAGAACGATCGACCTAGACAGGGGTCGCTTTCTCACTGTATCTCCACAACTCCACAGTGACTTCAGTGAGTGAACTGGAGCGGCCGCCAGGACCCGTCCAAGATGGAACCCTGTTATGGGGAAGTTGGAACTGAAACCGAGGGATTGTCCCGCTACTAACACCTTCGCGGTTTGTAAACGGCCGGTCGGCCGTCCGGACGGAGTTTGACTTCCCCTCGTTCAACCTGCAACTCCGCTCATCAATGGCACCAGTCCGCATCTGTTAACTCGAAGTTACCAAAAGCTTTAAAGAGATCGTCATCCCTTTTAGTGTGGACCACACTCTTGTCTTCAACTTTTACCTCACCAACATCAGTTTCTAACAACCCTAATCACCAAATCACTATGGCTCAAGCACACGGCACCTGCGACCCCAAGTTTGAACGGGTCCGCGCCAAATTCCAGGAGTTTGTGGAGTCAGGAGAAGAACTCGGGGCTTCGCTCACGGTCACTATCGATGGCAAAGACGTTGTCAACATCTGGGGTGGATTTGCAGACGCAGCCCGCACACGTCCCTGGGAAGAAAACACCATCGTGAACGTCTGGTCATCAACCAAGACCATCTCCGCTCTTGCCATCCTCTTGCTCATCAACGACGGTCAACTATCTCCCAATGACAAGGTTTCCAAGTACTGGCCCGAATTTGCCGTCAATGGAAAGGAAGACGTTCTTGTCCGCCATTTGATTTCCCACACTTCTGGACTGGCCATTCTGGAGGCGCCCGCAGTAGTGGCAGACCTCTGTAACTCTGAGCTCATGACCTCCAGGATTGCGCAGCAAGCTCCGCGCTGGACTTCCGGCACGGCTTCGGGCTATCACTCCTGGACATACGGCTACCCGATCGCCGAGCTTGTTCGCAGAATCACGGGTTTGAGCCTGAAGGAATTTGTCGCTAAGAAGATTGCTGGACCCGTTGGTGCGGATTTTCAAATCGGTGCCAAGGAGGAAGACTGGCCCCGTGTTGCGGAGTTGGTTCCTCCTCCGCCTTTCGTTCCACCCAGCGAAGCAGAGATGCCCCCTCCCGACTCACTCATGGCAAAGATGTTCAACCCGTTCCCGGATGCCGGTTTTGGCAACTCACCAGAGTGGAGGAAAGCTGAGATCGGAGCGGCAAATGGACACACCAACAGCAAGGGTCTTGCGACGATTTGGTCCAAGGCCGCCACGATCAGCGACGAAAGCAAACGACTGCTGTCGAAGGAAACCATCGATCTCATCTTTGAAGAGCAGGCATACGGTACGGATTTGGCTATAGGTCAAGTTGTCCGCTTTGGTACTGGTCTGGGCATCAGAGGGAATGGAGATGCCATCGTTGACTCCTGGATCCCCGAAGGTAGACTTTGCTTTTGGGGTGGTTGGGGAGGCTCTATGACGGTCAACGACATTGACCGTCATATCACGATTAGCTACGCAATGAACAAGATGGATCCTGGCACGGCGGGCAACGCTGCTGTCAGAGAGTATGTGGCTCAGGTTTACGAGGCTTTGGGGGTGCCGATTCAACGAGACTCCACCAACGAGAAGATGAAGATGTGGAAGTCTTAGCTCAGGAGGTAGCGACATAGATATTTGAGCGAATCTTTGACTGATTTTGTTGCAAGTATTTTATCGAGCGTGTATATGCCCAGAGATCCGGAACAACATATGGATGTTACCGCAGAGGAGCACCTGACGATATAATATTGGCTAGATGAATGTACGATACCTTTGAACTTCAAAACCCAGAAGCAGCTTTTTGAGAACATGGGTATAAAATAGAGGTATGTCTGACAAGCTTACCAGCATTTTGATTCCGGCATTCCATCTGCAACTCGTTTTACGGAAAATGACGAGGCAGCTTAGAAAATTAGGATGCATCGCGCATTCCAGAGTATCCTCAGTAAGCAGGATTCAGTAAGCAGGATTCTCCAGCAGTTTTTTGTGATCAGAAGCGTCTTGTGCACCACTGGGAACGCCGGCAATCAACTACCGACACATTTCAAAGATCGAGTGCATCTAGCCTGATCTTATGTCAGAACTCAATGCATGCAAGACTCGAGAAGCGTGTTACTAGCCAACTTTACCGAGGCAGTCAGCATCGCACGATGATTCCTTGGCTGTTGGCGATTTGTCGGTGGTCCCCATAACCCAATCTATTTTATCCGGGCTTGATATGCGAGCCTTCCAATCGGCTTCGTGTCTGATTCCAGGAGGTCCTCCGCAACCGGGTTCGCGACTGGCTCTCTTAAGGCATGCCCCTTGTCAACGTAAGCAAAGACCTTGACGGTGAAGACCCCCGCGCTCATCATCCCTGTGGAATAGGGCTGGTCTATCCAGCGACTTGCGAGAGTCTCGCAGCCAGTACGAATTGATTACTTGGCGATGTTACCTGCCTGCATGGCTAGTTTCCATTGCTAGACCCAAATTCTCCACCTTCACTCGCTCAAAGAAAAACTATGTCGCTAATGTTTAGTTTCGGTCTTCTGTGCCTTCTTGGCGCTGTTCGGCAACCCGACGGGGAGGGTCCTTCGGACTCTGCATATATTCTTGTGTCACCTGTCCCCTTCTGCTTGTGCTGTTGTCCCTTTTTCTTCTTCTTTGTTCGAACTGTTCGGATCACTTCACAGAAGAGCAAGTTTTGAGGCCCACTGTCTCCTTTTAGGTTTCCTCAAGATTGCTTGTAAAACATGAAGCCTTCACTCTTCGGCTTCTTAGGCCTTCAAGTTGCTCTGCCAATTCTAGGCAGCCCAGTGCCTGATTCGACGGGTCTTGAGGTGAGGCAAGTCGCTGATGATGGGTTCCAGCAGCTTGCATCACTCGCACAAGCTGCCTACGACAAAACGAAGTCTGCAGTTGATGCCAGCAAGACTCAGAAGCGCGCCGGTACTTGTGGCTGGCACAGTATTCGAATCCGCAGAGAATGGTACGTACGCGCGTCGTCTTAGGTTCTCCGTACACTAAAACCACCAGGGGCATCCTGAGCCGACAAGAGAGACTTGACTACATCAGTGCAGCCAAGTGCCTGCAATCGAAGCCGGCGCTGACTCCCTCGTCGGCGGCTCCTGGGGCAAAGACTCGCTTCGATGACTTCGTGGCTACTCACATCAACCAGACCTTGACTATACACTACACGGGGAACTTCCTCTCGTGGCATCGATACTTCACATGGCTTTACGAAGAAGCTCTCAGGAACGAATGCGGATACAAGGGCACTCAGCCTGTAAAAATCTTCTCCCTTTGATGATGCTCTCCAGTTCCTGACATCTTGCGACAGTACTGGGATTGGACTAAAACTGCCGTCTCGGGCATGGAAAAATCGCCCATTTTCGATGGCAGTGAGACGTCAATATCTGGCGACGGCGAGTTTATCCCTGGCCGAGACGACATCATTCTCGGAGGTCAAAATAGCCTCCCTCCCATCAATCTGCCTGTAGGTACCGGTGGAGGCTGTGTGACCTCCGGCCCGTTTAGGAACATGTCGGTCAATCTTGGTCCTGCGGCACTTGACCTTCCCGGGGGTGTTTCCGAGGCCCATCCGGACGGTCCTCTGTCTTACAACCCTCGCTGCCTCAAGCGTGACCTCACCACTGCTGTCAATCTTGCATACGCCAACATCACGGCCGTGGTTTCGAATATCCTCAAGCCACAGAACGTTTACGACTTCCAGATGCAAATGCAGGGTGTGCCTGGCTCGGGTAACATCGGTATCCACGGTGGTGGCCACTACGCTATGTAAGTCTTGGCTGAGATCAACCATTTTGGAACGCGTGGATTTCTAACAACGCAAACAGTGGCGGAGACCCAGGAAGAGATGTCTTTACCTCCCCAGGCGACCCTGCCTTCTACCTCCACCACTCCATGATTGACCGAGTGTGGTGGATGTGGCAGATGCTGTCCCCTCAAGAGCGTCAGTATGGCGACATCGCTTTGAGCGGCACCAACACTTTCTTGGACCAACCTCCCAGTGCCAACACCACTATGGACGACCTCTTGGAGTATGGATGGGTTGGTGGTGAGCCGCTGAAGATCAGAAATGCCATGAGCACTATTGCCGGGCCTTTCTGCTATGTCTACTTGTGAGGTGGTGGATTCAGGATCAAGCTCCACGATGAGGAGAGCTTTCAAAGTACTAATCAAATCGAGCGCTACTTAGAACAAATATCATAATAATAATGTTTGTTCCTCTCAAGATTTTCTACACGGGGTTGCTGTAATTATCAAATCTTCTGTCCACATGAGGTACAGTTGCCAGGTTGATGTGGCTTCTGGGAAAGAACATTTGGAGAGGACAATGAATCCTCCGCGGTTTCGGACCCCACGTGCAATGAATCCTTTTATGTACTCAACACGATTTTGTGTGTAAGACTGGACTCAGCCGGAGAATTAGCATCACCCAAACCGGCAAACTGCGCCTGTTGGCTGGGATTTGAGAAATGATGATTCGACAAGGGATATGACGTGACCGCTGGTCGGGTAGACATCGGGGAAAACCACCCATGCCACTGCACCAGTTCCTCGGCGCTTTTCTTCGTTTGTTTCCACTCTATTGCCTGTAGAACGTCCCATGGGGAAGCAGATGGAGAATTCGCTGGCTGGTCTAGATCGAGTTGACGGGTGGCATCCACTTGGTGCAGTGATACCATCGAGTCCTGCCATAGCGCAATGCCGTTATCGCGCCGTGGCGGCTCGCTTGAGATACATCCAGGATTGTTTGGATTTGCGATAAAATGCTCAAGTTTTCGCCGTTCAATTATCTTGAAAGGTTGTCCCTTTTCAAAGATCAAGACGAATTACCATGGCGCAATCCATCGCTGAGTCTCCAACGCTATGGAGCAAGACCCACGACGTCTACCGCGGGACGGTCTTCCAAGCCGTGCTTCTGGGTCTTATCAGCTTCACGCAACGGGGGGATATGGGCCGCCATGAACAGTACGTTGGGATTTCGTTTCTTTCTGGTCTTGAGTGCTAAAACTTTATCCAGATCTTGGTGCTGGCGGCCAAGCTGAGCCTTACGTCGTCAATGCTGTCAACGTTATTACGTTTGTGTAAGTCTTCAGGATACTCAAACTTTGAGAGTAAGATCGTGCTAACTATGTTGCAGCATCATGGTCTTCTTTTCTCCTTTGGCGAGCATTGTCGGCAACCTGATCGGTCTGAAGTGGATTGTCGTCTTCGGAACCCTGGGCTATGTGCCTTACTCTGCTGCGCTGTATTGCAACTCTCTTTGGGGTACCCAATGGTTCCTTATCTTTGGCGCTGTCACATGTGGCTTCTCGGTTCGCTCTTCCATACGCATTAATATCCAGAGAAGCTTTTCTGACTTTAGTACAGGCAGCTGCCCTCTGGCCCGGCGAAGCAGCGATTGCGGTTGGCTATCCTGAAGTTGCTCGAAGAGGCACCTGCAGTACGTATTCAATGAAACTAAGTGACCTATCATGGAGGATCTGACATAAACGTCTAATCTAGTTAGCATCTGGATGGCCCTAGGCAAACTCGGCTCCATCATTGCGACCGCAATTCAACTCGCCATAAACAAGGACGGCGACACAACCGGCGCTATTGCTCCCTCGACGTATCTCGTCCTTGTTGCCATACAGTGCCTAGGTCTCCCACTCTCTCTTGTAATTGCCCCTCCAAACAAGCTCATTCGGAAGGATGGAAGAAAGCATGTCTTTGCCAACTCTCAGCGCTCTTTCGTGGTGCAACTCAAAGCTTTTCTCGCCCAATTCAAACGTAAAGAAGTTCTGCTCTTGATCCCGGCCTTCATCACCGCGCAATGGGGCGTCACATACCAGGGCAACTACATGGCGGCCTACTTCACGGTGCGCGCTCGTACGCTCTCTGGTTTCTTGATTGCAATCGTCGGTGCCATCTCCAACCTCCTCGCCGGCTGGTGGCTGGACACGAAGCACCTGCGTCGGACAATTCAAGCACGCTGGAGTTGGTACTTCTTGCTCGCTCTCTTCACGCTTGTCTGGATCTGGAACATTGTTGTGCAGGAGCGATGGCAGCGTGAGAGTCCCGGGGAGATTGACTGGAGCAGCCCGAGTTTCGGGGAAGGTGTTGCCATCTTCATTCTTTACCGGTAAGTCGACATCTCTTATACCCTACGAGCCATCTTTTCTGACATGCATTTTAGTATTGCGTACGAGACTGTCGGAGTCTGGCTTTATTGGGTTCTCGGCACTTTCGACGTGGAGGCGGACACCATTGCTTTGTCTATGGGTGTCCTCCGCTCAGGAGAGTCTGTTGGTTCGGCGTTGTCGTATGCAGTCGGATCAGTGCGCAGTGCGTCCTTGATGACCAACCTGATTGTCTCTGTGGTTGTTTTCTATGTTGCTGTTCCTGCCACCACTTGGGCTTCTTTGCTTGTCAAGGATAGGCTTCCCGGGGAGCTGCATGGCTCTGACAGCGATGGTGAGGGGTTCGGCCAGACTGACCGTCCTCAATCTGATGCGGAGCAAGTTGAGGTGAACCACGACGCCAAGGTATAAGGAGAATTCATGTGTCGAGACGATGCTGGCCTGGATAGCGATACAGCGGGCCGTTCCATCAGGGCGGTGCAGCCGATCATACGGCCCCACAATCGGAGGCAGTGCTCGGAGAAGAAGGACCGGATCGCCGGAGCACTCCCGCAGGCGAAATGATCGACAAGATCACTTTGGGGCAGTGCATCAACCAAGAACATATGCCAGTGGTTGTGGTAACTACGTCTCAACCATGTTTCGCACCATTCTTGGTTCTGCTCATCCCGGCCACGAGGCCCGATCATAGGGTGGAAAAAACAGCAGACCTTGGGACGAGCGCCGACTCTTCGGATGGTTCTGAAACCGGATTGGTCTGGCGTCCAAAACGCTCGCATGGCTACATAAAACAGCGCGCACGCTTAGGTTCATGTCGTGCATAGCAGTAAAATCAGGAGGCGAGTCCTAAAAATTGCCTGCAGGGACGTTGGGCTTGTCTAGTTGTTTCCTTAGCGGCGAAATTTAAAGTATTGTTTCCCTACTCCAGATCACACACGATCGACGCGCATCATTTTCTCTGCCTCGACGTACCCCACAGAACACGATGAAGCCCGAAACAGACAACGAAGACCACCAGCCCTTTCTGGGTTTTCGCGATGACCCGACCAAGAGGAATTCGGCGGACGACGAGGAAGAGCAGGTCGTTGCGGGCGGCAATGCGATGCTGCACCAACAGCATGCGCTGAAGACGTCAAGGACGAGGAGGTGGTTGAGGGACTTACTCGTCTTTCTGGCGACTTCTCTGGTCTGGGTGCTGGCGTTTTCGTTCATACCCGGGCCTCAACAGCAGGCTTCGTCGACACCGACACCAGGCACAGCAGCGATGATGCCGACGCCGCCGTCAATGTCGGGATTGCCGTTGCCGCTGCCGCAAGTAGGACAGGATGGCAAAGCGGGAACGATCCCGGACCCGAAATACCTCGCGGCAACGCACAACATGACATCTGAGGCGAAGTTGGTGATGTGCGGAAACTCGACGGCGGAGGCGAAGAAGGCGGGGTGCAAGTACGACACGTTGCTCAACCACTGGGTACCAGAGCAATGTTACGACAAGGAGTTTGAGACGGAGTATTTGGATGACGACACCTGGCACGCGTATTCGGAGTAAGTTGACCTTTCTGGCCTGATGCTTCTGTCTCTGGTTGTGAACTGATTGCTGATTTTGCGACACTCGTATAGTGTCAACTTGACGAAGCGCCTGACGAGAGAGGAAATGGGAGATCAGGAGTCGTACTACACTTCGATTGCGGATCACGTCAACCACTGCTCCATGCTTTGGAAGAAGCAATTCTGGACCATGTTCGAGGAGCGGAGGGTTTTTGATGGTGTCATTGTCAACTCGTACCACACAGAGCATTGCGCCGATTTCTTAAAGGATATCTGGGGATCAAACCGGACAGAGCCTACGTTCGTTAGGGTCGCATTTTCAGGGTGTTGGATGAGGAAGTGAGGACTTTTGGGCAACTTTGGTGCGATACTGTTAGGTTGGATGTGGATTACAGTTGTCAATACGACATTTCAGACCTTTCAGTGCCATCCTTGGCGGTTAAACTCACGATGTACCGAAGATATGGGCAGTATGGCGCAGATTTAGCACAGCGTTGGAGTTAATCCTTTACCTAATGCAACTACTAAGCGTTGAAGTTTAAACAGACTAAGGCGACGACGATAGTCATCTGTTGGAGCATTCGGCACTTGGATGAGACTGTGGTGAGCCCCTAAAAGCCTAACATTTTTAGGAATGAACGTCACCTCAACTTAAGTACTGATGTCTAATTTGCTGATTTGGAGTGGAAGACTCATGGTCTACAGGCTGGTCTTAGCTTTGGCAAGCAACTGCACGAGAAATTTAACTATGTCAACAACTTGCCTATGGCTTAAGATAGTACTGCCAACTTCTTCTACTTGAGAGATTTCCACGTCACATTTCGTCGTTGGCGACGATTGCGGGCAGGACACTGATCACGGCTGATTTTGAATGCTTCTGGAAGTTGATACCTTCGTTCAAAGATGGTGTCCAAAATTGACTAGAGATACAGATAGTTGATGACAAAACGGCTTTGCGTGGTACCGCCATTGCGGGAGCTAAGCGATGGAGCTGCTTGAAGAGCGTCTACGCCAAGTCGTTTGACAAGCTGGTCAACACCCTCGAGGAGAAGCACCAGTGCGCGAACCCTGCTGCGATCAGCCCCTGTTCTAGAGCCAGGTTCTTCCTCACAGGTGCCACGGGTCTCTTGGGCACCTGCCTGGGCTGACTGGATCTCCTGCGTTCTAGGCGACCTGCATAAGCTCCGTCTTGACCAGGACGATTCCAGCCGGAAGCACGTTGCCAAGATAGCGGAAGCTGTCATTCACAACGCGGCTTGCGTTCACTAGATTCCTCGAATTCTCGCTATGAGAAGATGATGCGCTTTGATGCGTCGCTCGGAGCCTATCTCTCATGAAGACGGCACTAGTCACACAATAACATCAGAAGCAGCCAGGACGTTAGTATTACATATACTCAAAGGTAGATCTATTAAAAAGTTCGTCTAATAACTACCTTTAAACTCCCTCAAAGACCAAGATCCTTCTTCAGCCCGGGCAACACAGTGCCCTCGTTAAACGACCACACCAGCGCGCTGTTGTGTCCCGAGAACGCCGCGCCAGCCCAGTAGGTGTTCCTCGCGCCCTCCAAAGCCAGCAGCTTCGCGTAGAAACCTTGCTTGATCTGGTCCGCGGACACGCGCACATTGTACGGCGCGTGGTTGGAGTAGTACGGGAAGGTTACCGTCTCAGCCGCGTCCTTGGGCACGGCGCCGACGGCGGCCAGGGTCGCTAGGTTCTTGCGGATGACATTCTTGCCGTCCTCGTCGGAGTAGTTGGTGTCGTTGAAGCCGACGGCAACGAGGAAGTCGCCCGGGGAGCCCGCGGTGTAGAGGCCGTTGGTGCCGGGGATGGTGGGCTGGTTGAAGGGGGTCCTGGCGCCGACATTCTGGAGGCTGTTGTTGAGGCCTTGGATCGTGGCGACGCCGGCCCAGTAGCCCAGGGCGGAGAACTTGGAGAAGAGGTTGCGCTCGTGGGAGGAGAGGTCGAACTGGCCGACATTGTCCAGGGTGGGGGGAGCAGCGATGAGGAGCTTGCGGGCGCGGATGAGCTTGGGGGGCTGATCCGGTTGGTGGACGAGCACGGAGACGCCGGAGGCTCCGCGCTTTACCTTCACGATGGTCGAGTCGAGGAGGACGTCGTCGCCTAGCACCTTCGCCGCGGCGTCGTAGAGGCTACGCGTGTCGCCAGTGCCGGAGACGATGAACTCGCCAAAGACGCTGGCAAGCAGACCCGGGCCAAGGCCCTTGATGCCGTAGAGGGACGGGATGGCGGAGATGTCGCCTGTCCACCAGTTGAACTGCGCAATGACGGGCAGAAGGGCGGAGAAACCGTACTTCTGCGCCAGCTCGCCGAAGGGAACAGTGAGCTCCTCGGGGACGGGGTCCGGGACGTGGAAGCCCTGGTCGATCCAGGGGTACTTTGACAGGATGTTTGTCGAGTACGCCTGCGCGGCGCCCTGGAGGGCCTGCTGCTGCGCCGCGGTCGCCGAGGCGTTTTGCGCGGGGATCGGGATGCCCAGGGAGAAATCGTAGCTCTGGGTGGTGCCGGACTGCGCGGTGAGGGGGTTCGTGTTGACAGTGGAGACGTTGAGGCGGGAGAAGTAGTTGCTCACGACCTCACGGTTCTCGAAGACGACGACGCCGATGTTGGCGGGGACCTTGGTCTGCGGGTTGATGTAGGTCTCGGCGTGGCCGCCGATCTGGGACTTCTTTTCGATCACGACGACCTTTGCGCCGGCGTCCTTGAGGTTGATTGCGGCATGAATGCCGGCGGAGCCGCCTCCGATGATGGCGAGATCAACTTCAGTTGCGTCCACGGCGTAGGGGGTTGCCAGGGCGGAGGGTAGTAGTAGTGCCCAGGGCGAGGCGATGCGGGAGATCCTCATTGCGATACTTGGCGTATAGTATAATAAAACTGAGAGAGTGACTACTGGTTGGGAATGAGTGGACTGTCAAAGAGACTGGATTAGGTATTATTATGTTTGGAGGGAATATGTTCGCGTATGATGCCTCAAAGACACCTACAGAAAAAGCCTCGAAATTCTAGCTTCCACTCAGGGAAGCGCATCTCTTTATAATCATTCCCGGCGACCTACGGGCCCGACGGATCCGTGCCGGGGTTGATTGACTTTGGGAAACATATCGAATGCGGTAATACTCGCCCCGAGACTCGTAGGCCGTGCCTTGACGTGATGTTGACGCTTCGAGTGCAAATGTTGCCGACGTTGCCTTCGCCGTTCCGGCCATACCGGGCGCCTGGTGTTATAAGATTGGTTTAATTAACACGGAAACCTTGACAACTCGAGAACGCCGGCTTTTGCGGTGTCGGTGGAGCCCCGACGTCGTTTAAGCTTTGATTAGTCCCGTTCGCCGATTGAACCTCCGGGTTGGCCTGGTCACGGAATCCTGGTCTAAGCTTACAGACCCCAGGCCCGATGGAACGGAATCTGGGGTTGGCATTGCCGCGCCGGTCACTTGGGAAGAAAGGAGCTTTCAAACCCTCTAGCTGGCGCCTTTCGCCTTGTGAAGTTGCGTCCAGAAGAATGTGGTTGGTACAATTTCAATTTTTGAACTTGTTCTTCAACTGGCCAATGGTCAGGCTTGGCAAACCCAGTGCTCATACATGAGATCCACTCAGTAGAAATAGCATTCTTGCTCAAAAACCCCTAAGACTTGGTGAATGTATACCTCTTCCCATCTGATCCTATAACAAGGAATCTTGCCATCCACCCACGAAGCCGGATGAGTTATATCTTTACATACAAGTTCTTCTTCAAAATTCTGAGAGCTAGAAATAACAGTGTAAGATGACCAGGATCGCGCAGAGAGAAAGATCAAGCCAATGCCCCAATCTGCAAGGATTTTGATTGGTATCAGACCTCCTTCGACGGCGGTTGACATCTTGATCGGTGCGTCAATGGAGAAACCGCCTTGCATGTCATCGGTGTGGCGAAGAAACAGGATGTCGAACGGTCCTCTTGTTCGAAGGTAGATTTGGCTGTCGATCCTGAGCAGGAGAGCGATGAGTAATTGTTCGTCGACGCCGCTAACTGCCACAACTTCTCCCACGGAACGGCAAGTGACCTGCCCTCTCAGGAAATGACTCCAAGGCCAGTTCTCCACACGGAAAGCTTTTGCAACAAGCAATATGAATCCAGCCAGCACCCAGCAAAACACGCTAATATTGAATGGATCAACACCATGAATTCGATCGCCCACCGTGAAACCAACTCCAAGCCCTCCGAGGACCAGAAGGGCGCAGCCTACGAGAGAACCCCAAGTATACCATTTGCAGGAGATGACGATGGCATTGGCGTCAGTTACCCATTTGACGTATTTGTTTCTCACCGCTTCAAGGTTCTCTTTGGCTTGTTCTCGGTCGCTCAACGTCACCGTCTTATTCGGACTCCTCATAGCCCGGCTTAGCGTGTTGGCGTAAGTGTCATAAGGACTCCCATGTTCGTTATGGCCGACTGCCCTCTTTCGAAGCAAGAAAGTCTCAGAAACAGGACGAGCATCGCTGTTTTCTTTCTCACTTGGTTTCCGAGACTCGTACTGGCTGGTTCGTAGAATCGCAGTAAAGATCATCTTGGGCTGCTCGACAAGGAGCAGTGCGAAACGGTTGTCTTTGCCAGAGCTGAAGAGAATCTTGTCAATGAGGCGGTGGAGAGCTGCACTGAAAGTGCCTGAGCTCATCGCATAGGGTACGGTTGCTGTAATAACCCTTGTCATCGACCCCAACTTAACCGCGCCCTTTCGACTTCTGGGCTTAAGTCTACCCTCGTCATCCACGTAAGAGCACTTCCACTTGAGAGATGTCCAGCTGGAATTGGTGTGAGATATTTTCTCTTTCTCGAGAGTCTCCCACGTTCTAAGGCAGACTTCAAAGCCAGCTGTAAAGGCACGTGTAACACCCGTTTCGCTAGCCGCGCCAATGCCACCGTCTCGCTGCTCGCAAAGGAGAATTTGTTCTGATGTGATGAAAGACTCGTATAGCGCGATACTACTCTCAAACTCATCAACTCCAGGAGCCAAATGGTTGCTGACTGCAAATGCGGTCAAAGAGTCGATTAGCATGTCGATGACGGCGTTATGTAAGAGATCCATTTCCGAGAAGTACTTGGTCGCATATCCGGCACGGTTTGGCGCAGGCGGAGCAGCCTTATAGTTTCTGTTATACCCAAAACCTGGGTTGTTTGCGTAATAAGCAGCGTTCTTTGCCTCCCGCTTTTGAATACGTGATCGTGCATCGCTGCCATTTTGCAGTGTCTGTTCCGTTGCTGCAGGGAGATCATGCCCGACAACTTTCATTTTCGCCGAGATTCGCGCAATTACTGCGATGATGTTGTTGATCCAATAAGTGCCCCTGAAGCTCTGAAGAACGATCTTCACTAGGACTGCAGTGAGATAGTTGACCATGGCGTGGTAGTAACGCTGATACTCTTCTCCTTGGAGTAGGAGGGGTCCAGAGAACCGTTCGTCCCCAGTAGCAGGGTCGAAGTATGCCAGCAGGCGATCCTGTGTGCTAGAGTAACCATGCGTGTTTCGGTCGATGTGTTCAACCATGACCACAAGAACATCATGTTTGCAAATTTGCAATGCTTGAATCAAACGTTGACCCAACCAATGGAGTCGAAAGTACCCGTTGGCGTCGGCTGGACCAAGCATGCTCTCATTGCCCTGAAATCTGATGGCAGTCTCCGAGTTTGCGATCTGTACCAATCGACGTGCCTCCAATATGCAGAGTTCTTCATCTCCTTCTTCTTTGATGTCGCCGTACGGCGTAAGGTCGCTAAACTTTGGGAGATCCGGAATAAGGTAGCCCTCTTGTAACTCGAAGGCTTTGTGCAGAGTCACTGCGCGGCAAACAGCACCAGCGTCCACATCTGGGATGCTGTATTCGGTCCACCTATCTTGCCTAATAGTCAGCAGCTGCAATCGCTCTGACTTCGATGGTAATGAAGTAGGTAAGGCGAAGGGTATGGATGGTCGCTTTTGAAGCGTCGTCATTGTGGTTTGAGACGTGAGACACAGGGCCTAGGTCCGCAGCTCTTTTGACTAGAGAGCTTTTTCCAAACTTCAATAAAGTCTTCCTTCAAAAGTACTTTGCGGGAACTTCCTACATGAATCCATCCCAGGAGGCGAGATGAAGACTAGGCATATGTGCATGACGCACTTTCTTCATGAGTATGCAGTGTGGATGACCGGGTACCATCTCCGTGTCACCAGATCATGCCCGTGGCACGTGTAGCCTTATTCACTGGACGACTGCTTCTTCTCTACGCCCTTGTGATGTGCGGTTATGGTCGACCTGCATGCCAAGTCAGCCTGCTTACACGTCAAGTCAGCCTGCTTACACGCCAAGGCAGCCTGCTTCCACTCGCGAATAGAAATCAGGCTGTTCGGTCCTATATTTCAAGCTTCTTGAGTGCGGTCGAATATTTTAGTTCATTCCAGCCCTTGCCGACTAAGCCTTTGGTAATCCTTCTTGCCTACACTCGCTGTCCCCAAAACTCGATGGCAAATAATTCTTCTCGAGACGTCGACTCGTATCCTGCGTCTCTTTGAACGGCCTTCCAATCGAGATTTCCCAATGGAGCCCGAATCCGACAACCTATATGTCGTTTACAAGTCCAAGCTTGAGCCAAATTGGGTGAGTCAAGGCTTGGCGAAACGGAGTTCTACATCAGAGCTCCGAAAAGACAACGATAACGAACTACCATATCGAATACAACCGGAGGATGTCACTCAGGAGAATCATCCATGGGGAGATATCGCAGCAGTCTATCGAACTGGCGAAAACGTCAAGCAGCAGAGGCGTAGAGAGTCTCGTTTCGGTGACGCTGCATTGGTATTGCGGCACATTGTCGTTAAGAAGCAAATGGAAGAACGTGTGATATCGCAGCTCGAGATCCAGTCCAATTCCCTGCGGAGTGCTTTCATCGAAATTGCTTCAGGGCTCGTCAACATCAACCTACATCAGGATCCAATCATAATTCCTGATCCCTATGTAGAGATTTGTCATTGCCAAAGGCGGATTCATGAGGCAATTGATACCTCTAAGGATAAATCTCTGCGTGATCAGCTGCAGCTTCTGCAGATGTTCCGAGAGGATTACATGGCCCGTACGATCACTGATCTGCAAGCCCTGGAGCCTAATGGGTTGATAACATTCGACCTTCTGTCGTTTATCTTTGCCCCTGGTCACTCAGTTGTTCTCACCAATCGTTACCTTTCACATTTTCCAACACATTGGATAGCTCTGCTTCACAGCTGTCACTTCATCACAGATGCTAACAAAGAGGAGAAGAAAGTGGGGATAGAGCTTAGACTGAAGTATACCGGATTCAATGGCACTGTTTTTGGTTCCGTGAACACCGTTATTAGACTGGATCGGTTCCTTGGCACTAAAAACATCACAGAACTTCCTGTATATCCTATGAAGTATCATCCAGATCATCACAAGCTGCTTGATTCTTTGAAAGTCAGGGGATTGGAATGCTTGGGGCTGTGTTTAGGCAGTTCCAAGTCTCCTTTGGCCCAAAAGACTTTTGGCTCCCACACCTACTACAGCGGGCCTGTTTGGGAGATTCCCTTTCAAGGTTCCAGAAGATCCTACGATACTTATCATTCTCCCGGTCTTTATCCCTCTGATACCGCTTATGAGAACACCTCTTCGGCGCTTCTAGACATGTTTCTTAGCCCCCCCACGTCCGAGGCAAGCATAATCTACCATCAGAGCAATTTCCCATCATCAGTTAAAGTCTAATTATCCTTAGTCTGCCAGCAGGGTACTAATTGATTCACCTCAATTCTTGGAAGAATTTCCTGAGTATCGAGATGAAACTCGCCGTCAGCCACCTGTATCGTGGCCGAGATCGCCACCGGGCTATCCGAATCTTCCGCCATCGTCTAATGCGACGCATGATGTGGAGGAATTCACAGGGATCCCTGTTGAGAAGTTGACTGAGATGGATCTTGCATCCCTCCCTCCAGTTATCCCGGGGTTTACACTGACGAAACGGCTCTGGGGGTTCTTTCTCGTCAGTCATGTCGGGCAAATCCGTTGGAATGGACAGGCTTTCGACAGCCTGCACCTGGAATCCCAACGTAAAGATGCCGTATGGAGGCTTGTGCGAGAACATCGGCTGGGAACGAGTTTGTTCGATGACGTCGTTGCTGGGAAGGGGAGAGGTCTTGTTTTCCTCCTACACGGGCCTCCAGGAAGCGGTAAAACCATGACAGCGGGTAAGCTCACTGAATTATTTTCGTTGTCGAGACATCGCTGAAAAGCTAGCAGAGGTCGTGGCAGAAAGTTTGCAGTGTCCAGTGTATTACACATCCGGTGGAGAACTTGGACTCAAAATGTGGGAGATAGAGTCCAACTTGCGTCTCATATTCAAACGCATGCAGCGGTGGGGTGCCATTTTGCTTTTTGATGAGGCAGACACATTCATGGCAAAGCGCAGCGAAGACAACATTGAACGCAATGCTCTCGTATCCAGTTCGTTTAATCTCAGTCCCACCGATCAGGTAGAAAAAAGGGACTAACCTGACGTCATAGTTCTTCTTCGCATGTTGGAATACCAGTCTGGTATTCTGTTTCTCACAACCAACAGGATTGATGATTTTGACACTGCCTTCTTCTCCAGAATCCACGTTCGTCTCGAGTTCGACAAGCCTGGAGCTCCACAGAGGACTTTGATCTGGTCTTATCTTGCCGAGAAAGATGGCCACAATATCTCTCAAGAAGAGTTTGCAAAGCTTGGAAACCTCCCGATGGATGGACGACGCATCAAGAACGTTCTACGGGTTGCGTCGCTTTTATGTCGCTCGCGGGACGCGGCTGGGAAGACAACTATAGACGATGTGAAAAATTCGCTCAGAATTTCTGCTGGAGATCCGAATGATGAGGGAGCTGAGCAGGCAATTCAGGACTTTTGTGGGTAATGTGCTTCCTTGTTGTAATGGGACCTCACTTGTTATACGATGGTAGACATTGACTCCCGTATGTTTCTGTATTGGATCATGAAGAACGTGAACATCTTTCGTAAGTCCACTTGATTAGAGCCGTTTCATTAGGCTCAAAATAGAGACCTGCGATTTAATAACCGCCGACAATCAATCATGAGGCACAGGAGCACAGCCGGTCCTGCGCAAGTTCGCCAAGTCTTGGCATAAGACAATGGAACCATGTCGCTGCCTAGCATCAAGGCATGTTTTCCGAGCTGAGCTTAGCCGCAGCACGATGAAGACCATAAAAATTACCTACGTCCCCAGAATGTAAGACGGCAGCTGTTTATGTACCCCTTACATAGTAGCCAAGAACCTCAGCCCTGTGGCTCATTAGGCGAGCCAGCGGGAGCACCCGAGTGACGACCCAGTTTCAACTGCCTAAATCAGGACTACAGCACTCGCCAGGCTGACTTTTCCTTCAAAGATATGAGATACTGAAAATAGAGAAACGAGCGAGAAGGGGGGGGGGGGGGGGGGGGGGGGGGGCTTGATGAGTGCTAGGATAGATGGGAGCAATGGACAGACTTTTTGCGTATAAAATGAGCGCGGTATGCCGCGTGTGATACCGTTCTTACTCTCATCGTCATCACAAACACCATCACTCTACCTTATTAACCATTAATACTTCCTGCTCATCTTAAGCCAACTTCAGACCTTCTTCCCAAAACCTCTTGCACACCCCTTCGTCACCATGAAAACCTCCGCTGCTACCATTGCCATCGCGCTTGCGACCGCGGCCGTCCCCGCTATCGCCTATCCTGCGACTCTGCAAACTCGCGACGGCGAGACTTGGAAGAGTGACAAGGGCGGAAACGTCAAGGTTGAGGTCGGCAACGAGTTGATTCTCTATGGGACCGCCTTGCCCTCAGCTACTCTCAATGCCATTCTCGACCAGTGTGGAGAGTTGAGCTGCAAGCCGGGGGAACCCGTCAAGGCTAAGACTATGCGTATCGGTGCTGGTAATATGGGCCAAGAGACGGAGATGGTTCTCACTGTTGAAGGGAGCTTCGCTAGCGCCGGAGAACCTGGCGATAAAGCTCATCTTGTCGAGATGGCGAAAACAGTAATGAGAAAGATGTTTGACGAGGGAAAGCACAAACTGGAGCAGAACGTTCCTTACTACACCAAACCATGCCAGCAGACTAAGAACGGCTGTATCCGTAAGTTCATCCCCACTCGGACTTCAATCTTCTCTACCCCTGCCATAGTAATCGAGAGCCGTGACTGACCAATTTACGGGAGGAATAGACAAGGACAAATTCTACGCTGAGCAATGGCAAGCCACGGATCATGTCAATGTTCGGTATGAGGACGAGAAGACGGGCTTCAAATCCTTCCTCAATGTCGGTTTCTCTCACCCCGAGACGGACAGCCTTGACGGTGACATCTGTGCCGGTATCGCTGGTATCGGTGGCGCCATGGCCGGTGCTATTTCCGCAATTCATCCGGTAGCAGGTGTCGGTTTCTCACTTGCGTCTTTTGGGTGTGCTTTTATCTGAGGCAAGCAGCGTACTCGAACGTGACTGGGCTTTAGCTACGACGAGGATGTACATATGAACGCGTAGATTGTGCGCGGCCTAGGCATAGCGGGTTTAATCAACAAAGCAACCATAACTTGACATACTTCTCGGGGGAAACGCATACAACATACGTCTCCAGCTAATGCTGAGCATCTTGTAAGGGCTCGACTCCGAATTCCGTACCTGCAGCACACGAGTCAACGACCCCATTCCGTCCGTGTTCGTATCCAGTCGGAGCCTAGACGCACGCCGTTGCGTCGTGCCCCGGTGAAAGCAACCCGGCCCCGGCAGGTGGAGGTGGGGCTCGAAAAGCCGAAAAGCCGATCATCGCTCTACGTCCAGCGGATTCAAAGTCCGATGCATAAACCTTTGCGGACTTGCTGCGGAGCTATTGCGGAGTGGTACCTGAGGTTGTATCAAAGTTGCAGCCAAGTTCGGACACGGGCATTTGGCTATCGTCCGGCACGGCAGTCGTCGACGGCTCGGGCCATTGCATGGCGGGAGTTCGTCCAACAGGGGTTGAGCAGATCGATAGATCTTGCTTGTGACGAGACTCTTTAAGTCCCAGGGAGAACTGCTGGCTTTCCACGCTCTGTGTTCGTCCTGTCATTCAACCTTCTGACGAACCCATACACGAGTCTGTCAACCGCCACAATGCCAGCTTTGAAAGATGCCGTCACGTCAAATTTGACACTTGGCTCGGCCATCTTATTCCTCGTCACTGCTGTAAGTCTGATATCAAACGACTAGTTTCCAAACACTAACCCCAACTTCAACAGGGCGTGGTCTACAGAGTCGGCATCGTCATCTACAGGCTCTTCTTCCACCCCCTCGCCAGCTTCCCCGGCCCCAAACTCTACGCCGCATCCCACCTCCCCTTCCTCACGCAGAACATGCTCTTGGGCACCTTCACAAAAGACACCGTCAAACTCCACGAAAAGTACGGCCCCATCGTCCGCATCTCCCCCAACCGCCTCGCCGTCGACGGCTCCCTCGCCTGGTCCGAAGTCTTCTCCAGACGGCCCCATCAGCCCGAATACGAAAAGACAATCGAGGCCTACGGCCTGCCCGGCCGCATCGGCATCTTCCCAGCCTACCGCGATGACCACCGCCGCCAGCGCCGCCTCATGGCGCACGCCTTCTCAGAGGGCGCCCTCACCGAGCAGGAGGGCTTCATCAAGCACTACGTCGACCTGCTCATCGCCCGCCTCGGCGAGCAGGCGCGCGCGGGCAACGTCCTCGACATGACGCGCTGGTTCAACTACTTCACCTTCGACGTCATCGGCGAGCTGGCCTTCGGCGACCCCTTCTACTCCCTCGAGAAGAGCAACTACCACCCCTGGGTCGCGATGCTGTTCCAGTCCATCAAGGCCGGCGCCAAGCTCAACTTCCTCTCGCAGTACCCCGTCCTGCGCCCGCTGCTCTTCTTCATGATCGACAAGAAGGACATCGAGAAGAAGATCGAGTCGGACAACCTGGCGCGCGAGAAGACGGACAAGAGGCTCGCCCTCGGCTCCGACACGCGCAAGGACTTCATGACGTACATCCTCCGCAACAACAAGGACGGGAAGGGCATGAACCATGAGGAGATCCACGTCAACGCGCGCGCCCTCATCATTGCCGGTAGCGAGACCACGGCCACCGCACTCTGCGGCCTCACCTTCCATCTGACACGTACGCCTGAGGTGTACCGTCTCCTGACGGATGAGATCCGCAACGCATTTGCCAGCGAGGAGGAGATCGACATGAAGTCCACCGCACGTCTACAGTACCTACACGCCTGCCTCGAGGAGACTCTGCGGATCTACCCCCCAGCCGCCGAGACGCCTCCCCGTATCTCGCCCGGCGACTACATCGACGGCCGCTTCGTGCCCAAGGGCGTAAGTCCCCAGTGCCTCTCTCCACCTCAAGACCCCTCGCTAACTCTCCCATCACAGACATACATCTCCGTGTACCAGTGGGCAACCCACCACTCCCCGCGCAACTTCACCGACCCGGACGCCTTCAAGCCGCAGCGCTTCCTGCCCGACGCGCACCCCCTCCACGAGGCCCGCTACGCCAGCGACAACAAGGCGTCCTTCCGCCCCTTCGCGGCCGGCCCGCGCGACTGCATCGGCAAGAACCTCGCCTACGCGGAGATGCGCCTCGTCGTGGCGCGCTTCCTCTGGAACTTTGACGTCGCGCTCGAGCCCGGCCAGGAGGACTGGGTCGCGGGCCAGCGGGCATTTAACGTGTATGATAAGGGGCCGCTTTTGGTGAGGTTGAGGCCGAGGGAGCACAAGTTGGTTGGGGCTTGAAAGTCGTGTAGAGGTTAGAAGAATGCTTTGATGAAGTGAGGGAGGTGTGATTTGTAGGTTTTATGAGAGTTTGGGAGATGGTATCAGAAGTCAACGCAGATTCTAGAATAAGCACGAAGACGTGTGCTGTCGAACGGGTTTTCAGCAGAGAGAAATTTGGTTCTGCGGCTCATCTAACGAGCCCGGCGCGAGACTTGAACTACTTTATAAATGACATGAAACAACTATTTGGTTAGTTGTTAACAAGGACAAGTTAGACATTACGCGAAGTTGTGATTCCGACTAGAGATAAGAATATACGAACTAAAATATTAACACCTCTTAACAAGACCAAATAAATATTATATAGCCATCTCACACGCAAACTCTTCGTCTGAGAAGCAAAAATATAATCTCTGTCCTCAAGTCTCAACATGTCAACACAAAGTATCATAAACACAACCCAATTTCGGGAGCAAACCTCTATGGCCATCCCATCACCCTCACAAGCAACATCCCGCCAGCCAAACTCCACAACCCACAGCGGACCCGCCTCTCACGCCCGTCGAGTCATATGCAGCTTCCCCTGCTCAATCTTTCATCAACATCCGATATGGTGTAGTGGCCAACATGATGCCCTCTCATCTCTGATGCGAGGTTAGGCATAGCCCCGAGTTCGATTCTCGGTTTCGGAACATTTTTGCATTTTTGCCATTTTTGCCCGCACTTTTCGCCATGTCACGCTGCATCTAAGAAAGCCGTTACTCATTCACTTCTGCTTGCGGTTGTCCCCCGCTATCCCTCGAGCTTGAAAGTCTCGACACTAGAGAAAACTTTAGTTTTCGAGAGCGGTGGAGCGAAGTCGCGTCTCGCACCAGCACCAGATCACATGAGAACACCCACCAACGAAAGGAAACCTCACACACCAAACCAGAATTGATCCCGTGACCGAAACACCATGCATCCCTCCCCCTCCCACCCTTTCAAAAATGCGAAAATCCACCATAAGCGCTGACGCCGTTCGCACAAACACGGCCCAACGATAGGGTTCCCGAGAATAGACGGCGCGCGGGCGGCGGGCGCGGGCTGCGCCGCCGCCGCCGTCATAGAATCCTTCCCGCGGAGGGGTGGAGGGGGTCGTGATGGCAGGCTGACAGGACTACCTGACTTCACCACCAATAAACAACAATGGAATTGTTGACGGCGGCCGCGCGCGTGGGTCTACTAAGCGCCAGGAACGTCCAGGAACCGAAAGACCATGCTTTGCATCATCGACGAGGCATCTTGAAAAACTGAGCGTTTACTTTGTTTGTTCAGTTTATGGGTCCGGACGAGGTGGCGCATTGCCCTTGAAATCTCGACAAGCAGATTGAAGACGCGTTAGACACGTTCTCTGTCCGCTGTGACGACCGGTGGTAATTCATCATCCAGGGACTCAAATGCCAATCACCAAGCCTAGCATCGCGTGCAGCGCCTCGCAAAGAAACCCTGCGATGTTGTCAATATTCTGCGCGGTCTCCGGAGACCGGCTCGCCTTGACTGTCGCCGTGCTCCGAATGCGACTGTGAAAAGGCAGGTTTGCGACGATGATCCAACAAGCTTCGAGCAGTGTGGCCGAATAGGAAACCAGAAGTACAGCACCGCCCTCTCATTCGTCGCGACAAAGCTGCAACCTAGGTTAACCCCCTCCTCTGCGATTCGCGAACGACAGGAGACGGCAGTCGTCGAGGAGCAAGCAACTCTACGCGACTCCATGCTCGGCCGTTCCCTGGAAAGTGGAAATATCTCTCCCACGGGTGATTGAAGTCGTCCCTGAAGACGACGATCTCAGAATAAAGACGCATGCCGCGTCTCGCGAACTGCACGTCTCATTATCGTTAGGTTCTCCACCCAAAAAGGCAAGAACGCGGGAATGAAGGACGAGGATCAAGTCACACGGCTTGTGGGAGCGACGGGGGGCGCGCACGCGCGCGACCGATGCGAGAAAATGGCTCTGGCGGGACATGTCCATGCCTCCTCAGTGCGGGACAGGCTCTGTGGCGTGCGCCTCTGCGGGAGCTTGTGAAGGCAACGGCTGGGACGGGCGTTCGCTGGGCTGCAAAATTGGCATTTTAGGCCCAGAGGTGCATCGACTTGTCTGCCCTGCATGCGTGTCTTTTCGTCTGATGACTCTGGCGATCAAAACGCGTCCTGCCGGGAGGCTCACACTGGCTGGGCGTCCAGCTTCATGTGCCGTAGATCGCTCTTCCCTTCCCGTGTTGTCAGATCAGGCAGACTTGGCAGGCGCGCTGGCTGACGGGATCCTGGCCGACGAAGGATTGGGCATTCGGGCAGATATCCAAAAGTAAACACAACAAACCTCCATGCGGAAAATGCTGCTCTGGATAATCAAAACGACAGGTGATATTTCTGCTCGCATTAACGCCCGGGTGATTTGATGATGAGGGCGACATGAGAAGTGAGCCGCGTCAAAGCCCGTGTTCCAGAGTATCGACCGCTGTGACGTCTGTCTGGTTCCCGGAAGGGCCTGGAACAGCACTGGAGATGAGGGATGACATGGGTGGTGTTGGAGCAACACGCGGAGTGTGAAGAAGTCGATACTCAAGGAGGCTCGGCATCTCGTAAAGGCTGACTGAATGGCTATCAGCCCGTCTCATCACACCAGGCGTTGTTGATTTGGCGATCCGCAGCATCAATAACTTCCAATGGTCAGATGCCGGGCAATCTCCCTCTTTGCCTCGTCCTCAGACGGGCCCAGTGCATGCGTCCGTGTGGCTCCCCTCAGAGAGGCGTGACGCCCTCCCGCCCACTCGATTCAGGGAAAAAGCAGGCAGCTGACCACTAGGCAGCGGCAGAAATGCCGCGTCTCCAACCACTCAGATAATTCGTACGAGGCGAATTCTCATCCAATCGTTTGGGTGTCGCGTCCACCGCCGCATATTCGTGTCATGGTGTGAGGTGAGCCAGGCAGAGGCTCCTTCTGTGGCTATCAGCAACCCGAGAGATATGGACGCTCGTGACTGCAACTCTCAAGACTCAAACCGGGTTCTTCTCGGTCTTTGTGCTCACCTGACTTCTTCAGAGTCAAGTGCAAGCACGGCAAGAGACCTGCAGTGAGCAGATGTCTCCCCACGCGCTGCGCTGCGCGGGTGCGACGACCGACGAACCCGGCAAACCCCACCACGATTGTCAGCTCGTGAGACAGCCCAAGCCTCGGATACACCAACTGCATGTACGGCGGTACTTTCCTGCAGTCATATTTCTGTAAGTAGCTATCTCCGAGCGGCCGGATGCAGGTCTTGCGACTCCGAGACCTCGGAGGGACACGGTCGAACGGCTGCAGTACGAACAAAACCACGGCGGACGCGCCCGTCTTGTCTGCTGGGTCCCTTTGCCATCATCCATCCCGTCACACCGACTCTCTGGAAGACAGAGTCAGTGTCCAGCTTGCTTGGGGCTCTTGGTCTGCCTTGCTTTGCTGGATAGAATACTTCGTTTGGCGTGTAATGCCGTGGACTGTCGAGGAGTCATCCATGGTGGTCTGTGCAGAGCGCGATCCAGCGTCATTGTGCTTGGTGCCTTGGGTACGGTACCAAGGATCAAATGCCCTACAGAAACCGAAAGAGTACGTATTGCTGGCGATGCCAATGTACGAGGAGATGAGCAGCCCAACCGAGCCAACCTGCTCCCTCGAGAGTGTCACTCCCATGTTCCCCGCCTGGCTGGCGGCGGGAAGACTGAAGAGTTCTCATGCCAAAGGTACATGTACATGTACCTGGACTTCAGGCCAGGGTAGTGCTGCCTCAGAGGTCGAAAGAATTTCGTCAGAGAATTAATGCGGTGTGTGTCACGTGGGGCCGAGTGGCTGAGAGTGGGCCTTCAATGGAAGAAGAAAAGCGTGGTGCGGCGCGGACGGAGCTGGGCCAGAAAAAGCCCGGAGATTCAAGACTGTGACTCTTGCAGGGGAGGCCCAGCCGCACAGGCGGGAGCCGGGGGAACTTTGCCAGTGGCAGTCCAGAGATCGACAGTGCGTGCCCTGAGCGATTGGGACATTGGGGAGTGAATTGTGAGAAGCGAGCCAACAGAGCCAAATGTTGGCGTTGGATGGGCTTGATTCCCCAGCCGAAGCATCGCGCTCGCTTTGCCCTCTCACAGGAGCTGGCCTGTCGACAGCCACTGGGTCCATGGTTTTCAGAGGCCTGTCATATCCAGAGAGTGCGGCGCGTCCTTCTGTGTCCGTTGCGAGCAGAGAGACAAACAAATGTCCATCGGAACAGCTCGTCGTATTCCCATCCCCAGCCTCTCGTGAACTTGACTTTTGCCCCTCACCGTTCCAGAGCCAACAGCCGAGGGAGGCTAGCACGACCGGCAGGCGAAAAGAGGAGTGGTCACCGCCTCTTCTTTTTTCCCATGGTTTCTCCGCACTGTCCGTGTGTCCCACTTCCGTCACGGCGATAGATGGCAAAAACGAGGCAGAGTCGAAAGCAGTCGGTAGCTTGGAGTGAGTCGGTCGCTAAAATTAGCCCTTGCTGAAGTGCCAGCTCACGAATCTGTCGATCGACCTCATCCCTCGGGCAGTTGGAAGTCGGATCACGTTTTCGCTTGTGTGCCGAAGCTGACCGACTTATTTGTGGCGTCACCCGCTCGCATACAGCAGACAGGCCATGAAACCAGATGCTAGGCGTTGAGAAAAAGGAGGGACGGAGATAGTCTGAGGCAGCCTGAGGGCTAGGTGCTGTGCTGTAAAGGATAGACACGAGCTCAGGCAGCTCAGGGGAGCTTCGATCCAGCTTGCTTGCGCGTGTTGGAGCTTGGGTCAGGCCAGGTCGGGTCAGCGTAGGTACTCCGTACATACGGTACCTAGCCTCCGTGGCTCCGGTGGTGATGGTCCGGGTAGCCATCAGGCAGTGGCAGGGTGGTCGGTCGGGGTAGGCATTGAGCAGCAGTGTGATGAGTCTCTTCTCGTCTCATGTTTTCGCGTCTTCACTGTTGGTGCGTGCAGCCTTGCTTTAAGAGAGGGA